TTCATCAAATAATCATCGATAAGAAAAAAAAAAAGAATGATGATGTCTATGATGAGCAAAGAACCATGTGTCATATTGATTTTTTTTTCAAAATAATTCTATAGTTTAGTCATTTTATTCCATATTTTTATGTTGTAATATTTTTTATGTGAAAAACTACATTGATAGAAAAAAAACAAACTTTTTTCTGTTGTTTAATTCGAAACAAACAAATACCGTGAAAAAAATTGTTGACATAAGAGACAAACAAGTCTATGAAATATAAAGATTAATTTGAAAAAAACCTTGAACATTTGATACGAGATTTCTTCAAAACCTGTATTTTTACTGCTTTATGTTTATTTTTGCTCTTGATTATTATTTTGTTTGGATAGATTTTATTTGTGTTTATTATAATAATGATAATGATGAACCATTGACCATTTCCGGATTTCAATTTCTTTTTTTTTGTTTTAATCCCTCAATTTTATAGAGAAAAAATAAGATTTTCTAGAAATATCGAAAATGAACAACTTAAATCTAATCTTTTTTTATTTTCTTATTTCCAATACAAGAAATATGTTCATTTTTTTTCTCCAATCTACCTTTATGAAATTCAATTGAAAAAAAATTTCTTCTTTTTTTTTTCTACGGTAAATTTATAGAAAATAAAAATGATTTCCAACCTACACAAATGTATGGCACACAAACATCGATTGACAACCAAAAACAAAAAAAAACATTCAATTCATTCAATGTTTATTTTCAGCTCTCTCTCTCTCTCTCTCTCTCTCTCTCTAATGAGAGAATGATCATCATTTAGAATCCAGTAAAAAGAACGAGACTAGTTTTCCAATTGTTTCATTTTCGATAAAAATAAGCAATAATAATAATAATTAGATTAAACAAAGATTGTTTGTCTAAATATAGAACAATTTAATGAAGAAAAAAAATAAATATTCTTTGATTATTCACTGAATAAAGGAAGCAAAAAAAAAAGAAAGTTTGATGCATAATCAAATAGGAATTATTTATCGTTAGAAAACACACACACACACACACACAAGTGTTCTTAAGTGTTTGAATAAATTGAAACGATTTTCATAATGTATATTGAAACATATTGGATGTTTTAGTTTTTTTTTCACTATTAATATTATAATTTCGTAAAGGATGAAACAAACAAACAAAAAACAAATATTTATAGAATTTGAATGATATTTTTATTATTAAACATCCAAGAAAAAGAAAGAAAAATGGCAATGATCATCATCATCATCCTTATCATCGATACTTATCATAGCTTAGATATAAGAATAGATTGAAAGAAACAAATGTTATTCTTAATTATAATTTGCTGTTTTGTTTGATATTTACCATTGTGAAGAAAGAAAAAATTATTTGATAGGATTTGATTTATGACGTAAAAAAAAAATATTGAACGACAAACAATCTTTTCAAATAATTGTAATGAAGAATTTTGTTTTGTTACGATGTTGTTTTTTTTTTTTTTTTTTTTTTTGTTTTTTCTTTTTTTTTTTTTTTTTTTTTTTTTTTTTTTTTTTTTTTTT